GTCAGCACAAAATCTTCACGCTTTCAAGGCTTTGCTTAGTTACTTCTGCTTTTGCCTTTTGCTGTTTTGTTTTGAGACAGGATCTCACTAGGTAGCTCTACCTGGCCTGGAACTCACTCTGTAGACCAGGCTAGCCTAGATCTCATAGAGGTCCACCTGCCTCTGCCTCCCAAGTGCAGTAAGAGAATATAGAGTTATGCATAGGATTTTCTATTGAGTACATGGTGAAATAAAGTGTTGGGATGTCATATTAAATGAGATAGTATAGCCTGTATTTTCACTTGGTGGAGGGAAAGGTGTGTGGCTTTCACACAGCTGGCGGCAGCTGTCATGGAGACAGCTTTAGTTGTCCTGGCTGTGGGGAGATGAGGTCAAGAAAGATGCTCACTTGCGGGTCCAGGGGCACAGCATGTAGTCGGGGCTGTGGTGCTAGGGGAGAGCTGAGGCCTAGAAGTTTAGTTCTTTGTGCAAGCTGAGCCTATTCTCCCAGCCCCTCCAGAGGACCCTGAGCTCAAGGCCGTCCTGGGGCTGCATAGTGACACCATGTCTAACGCTAAACATCTAAAGGAAAGAGTGCACCTGTACCACAGGGAGGGCCCCTGGGCTGAGGAAGAAGAGGATGGGGTGAAGGGCTTTCTGGGCCTGAAGCTAGCCAGTGTTGGAGTCCTGTGAAAGTGGTCAACAGTGTGAGAAAGAAACGAGAGAAGGACCAGAGCCGAGCTGCTCTATAGTTCAGGATAGAAGCCCCACAGAAACAAACAGGATGAAGCTCAAGGTCACCCATGAGCTTCCTGCCTGCTTAAGGTCTAGTGACCTGCCACTTCCTGTGGGAACTGGTAGTGCAGGATCTGCCTGAGGTGGTGCCACTTCCTGCACCTGGCTTGGTGCTGTCCAACCTTCGAGGTCTCTCCTCCACTCACGTGCCTCCAGGTCTCCCTGTCCGCAGTTAATGCACTGCTAACAAACTGCCAGCTGAAACCAATACTTGAGAGAGAGAAAGTAGACTTAAGGATTGTCTCATAAGCACCAGGGTCTGGTGACGTGATACTGCATTCGAGCTTGTCCACTTTCTGAGCCCTCACCGCCCATCCAAGTTATTGAAGAACTTGTGACAGAGTGGCCTGGCCATGTGCTGACAAAGCAGTCAGCTGACCTTGTGTGTTGGGGAGGTGTCTGAGCTGTGCTGTAACTCTTACCAGGATTAGTGGTGCGATCGTGACTTTTTAATCCCTTTTCCTTTCAGAACCACCACCACCACCTAAAATTCCCAAACTTGAGGCTACTCACCCACCATTGCCTCCAGCACACCCACCTCCAGGTATGTACCTGCTGACATTACGTGCCAGGGCCTTTGGGACCGTCCACTGGAAGGATGACTTAGAGGGTTGTACAGAGTAGCTGTGTGCAAGGAGCCTTTCAAACTGCTGTCTCCCAGCTAGGTATGTGTAGATGGTGTAGACCTGCTGAGTCAGCACACCCTGACCAGCTGCAGCCAGAAATACGGGATTGCCTGAGGTAAATGAATTTTAGAGAAAACACGAACGGCTGAGAAATGCTTATCCAGACCTGGACAGAGTTGCTCTTAGGGTGCAGTCTCTCACCTGCTTCCTGTTGGCAGGATGTCGTCGTTACAGTGTGTTACGAGGAGTGAGCAGTTGTTCCGAGTCACTGGAGAGTAACGTAAAGTGTGTAGAGGTCTCAGCAGTACGTGAGACTGGGAGACTTCCCAGACAGCTTTCTTTACCTGTCTTCCTCTTCAGAAACTGGCTCAGGAAAGCTGGAGTGTGCAGGGCGCTATGCTTCTTATAGCTGGGTGCACTCACAGACGGTTGCTGTGCTTGACAGCTCCAGCTCTGGAGCTCGTGTGTCTGGAGCTCGTATAGAGCACACAGCTGACGAGGAGCTTTCTCTGTTCCAATCCAATCACAGACGCTTGAGGTCTGTGAGGATAGGAGTGAAGTGTTCTACCTGGAGCACAATCCCAAGTCCCCAGTTGAAAAGGCACAGCATCTCAGTGAGTGGTCCACAGTGCCGTGCTTAGCTTGGGTGGGGTGTGGCACATGGAGGGAGCCGAAGGAAGCCAGCAAGTTGTTCTTGCCCGTGCTCAGGGCGAGACAGAAGCTACTATAGGTACCTCAGGTTTTGTCCCTACCCTGCAGAGCACAAGAGTTATTGTTCAGAGCAGCCCAGGACATAGGCAGTACCTGGGCCAGATCAGCTCCAGAAGGACCTGGTTTAAGACCAGGACCTTGCAACCATTGCTCTTCTGTAGGGAGATGTGGCAGCAAAGAGATGAGTGGGCTATGTTGTGGGTACTCCCTCAGACAGTCCCTGGGAGTCTGTGGGAGCTGTCTTTGTAAGATTAGAGGAGTCATCAGTGGCAGAGAGAAGCAGAGCTCTAAGACCTGATGACACACTAAATCTGTGCCGCCTGCCCTTAGGACCCAGCAGCGGTCTTTCACACAGGGCTCCTGGAGAGCTGGCAGTGCTCTTGACTGCTCACTCCCCTTTAGGGGGTGTCTGTAGCCAGCAGGTTTCTCCTGGGATTGGTGTTCCTCCTGAACAGCTTTGTGAAGGGACACTATTTTACGTGTACAGGTGCTTTGCTTGCTTGTGTGTCTGTGCAACACATACGTGCCTGGTTCTCACGGAGGTTAGAAGAGGGCATTGGATTCCCTGGAACTGGAGTTAGACAGTTGTGAGCTTCTGTGTGTAGGTGCTGGTAACTGGGTCCTCTGCAAGAGCAGCGAGCGCTCCTAACTCCCAAGCCACTTCTCCAGCCCAGGACACAATTTTTGAGTGCATTGTGATAGTGATTAGGAGTGGAGGGTTCTGGGATCTTTTCCAGAGGTCTAACCATGACCCAGGGATCACAAGCCAAAGCCTACAGTGAGGTTTTCGGGGAGCAGAACCTTTAGTTCTGAGCCATGGGCAGATCTGCGGTCACTGTGGACTCAGGTCTCAGGAGCGCTACTGCTCCTCCTCTGGATCTTTGTCCTTTTAGTAAAATAGACAGAAAGGCCACTTCTGTGGAATGCTGGTTTCCGTTTGACTTTTCTGTCATCTCTGTCATTGACAGGCTCAGGATTCAGGAGTGGAGACTGGTCAGAAGCCCCAGCTGTTTGTGCTAGGAGAGATGAGCTGGGCTGAGTCTGCTTGTGCTTTGTGTACCCAGTAATGGGAGAGAGGATCTGGCCCCGCTGGGGACAGTATAGAAGGCCTATTGGATGGGTCACAGGCAGGAACGAATGGCCTCTAGGCTTATTGGGCCACAGAGGTAGTAGCCATTCTTCGCTCTACAGTAAAGTGGCCTTGGGAGGTGGCAGTACCTCCCCCAGTGCCCATGAAGAGTTAGGCTGCCAGGGGGTACCTAAAAGCTGCTTGGTCCTCTTGGTACCAGGGCTTCCTACTCCGGAACACTTGGGCCAGCAGCTGCACCATTCCTCCGGTTGAGCATTGACATCTCTTTCTTCTACAGACCGGAAGCCTCCCCTCGCTCCTGCCTTAGGTGAGGCTGAAGCAACTGGTCCTGTGGAAACGAGTGACCTCCCCAAAGTCCAGATCCCTCCTCCAGCCCACCCGGCCCCTGTGCACCAGCCCCCACCGTTGCCACACCGGCCCCCGCCCCCACCGCCCTCCAGCTACATGACTGGGATGTCCACCACCAGCTCCTACATGTCAGGAGAGGGCTACCAGAGCCTGCAGTCCATGATGAAGACGGACGGGCCCTCCTACGGTGCCCTGCCCCCAGCCTACGGGCCACCTGCTCACCTAACCTACCACCCCCATGTCTACCCTCCCAACCCACCGCCACCTCCTGTTCCTCCACCCCCAGCTTCCTTCCCCCCACCCACCATTCCTCCCCCTACCCCAGGCTACCCTCCCCCTCCCCCTACCTACAACCCCAATTTTCCACCCCCACCCCCACGCTTGCCCCCAACTCACGCAGTCCCTCCTCACCCTCCTCCAGGCTTGGGTTTGCCACCAGCCAGCTACCCACCTCCAGCTGTCCCCCCTGGGGGGCAGCCCCCTGTTCCCCCACCCATCCCCCCACCGGGCATGCCGCCTGTTGGGGGGCTAGGGCGGGCAGCCTGGATGAGATAACGTGATGCCTTCCCCCCCCCTTTTTTTATTCTTTTGAGAATTGTTTTCCAACTTGAAGAGTAGACTGAGGGGGCGGCAGCAGGGTTCCTTGTATATGCTAGACAGTTGCAGTGAGGGAGGGGTGGCCCTGGGGTGAACTGTGTGCCCTGGGCAGTGCTTGTTGTGGTGTGATCACATCCAGTCTCCAATGCCGTCTGTGTCCTGCGCTGGGTTACTTTATACTAGTGAAGACGTTAAGTAGCCACATTGGCTCAGTTAACAGCTTCAGTGAGGAGTGACTGACCCTCTAGAAATCAGTGCCTAATTTTCCTGGGAACTAACTTTTGGTATCCATGTCCTCCTGTCTGCTGTTGTCCTTCCATTCTGTGGCTTTTCTCTGTGGCCCCTAGTAGGTGAAGCGAGTCCCCATTTAGCTTGTAACTGTCCTCTGTTGTCATCTGGGGGTGCTGCCTTGCCAGGTGGCTGTCTCCTTCCCTCCGGGGAGAAAGGAGGTGTGTACTTGGAAAATAATGTATGTTTACATCTCTTTGCAAAAGTCTTGTACATAGAGAGATATTTTTTAAGCGTGAATGTAACAACATACTGTGAATTCCATCTTGGTTACAAATGAGAATCCTTCAGTCAGTTACCCAAATAAAATCAGTTCTGAAACTACCCTGTTTGTGTGTGACCTGTGTAGAGCGTCTGTGCGCCGGTCGCTCTGTGCCATGGCCTGTGCCTCCTTTGGAGGAACCGGTGTTCTGGGCTACACAAGCTTCTGGAAGGGTCGGGGCTGGAAATGCTCTTGTTCTTGGCCTAAGAGTAACCATGAGTGGTCTACACTGTCCAGCAAGAGTCTTCACTGTCTGCCCAACCAGCCGTCAGCTCACAACAGGAAGAAAACGCCACACGCCAGCTCCGAGGCTCACAAAGAGGCCTTTATTATCTAGTTCAAAGTAGACACTGTCACAATCTTATATGTTACTCCTCTTACTAAAATAGTTCAAATCAATGCTTTTACCACGCTATCAAAAGTTCTATTTTTTTTTTTCTCTCTCCACAAATCAAAGTGGTTCAATAGAAGGTAGAAACAGCCGAAGTCCACAGGCTCCAGCTCTGCACAGCCACGGCAGGAGGGGGCAGCTGCAGCACTCCCGTCAACTCCTATACAAGACTGGCCCAGGGCAGAGAAACAAGGCGTCCCAGCCCCTCCCAAAAGCAGCACACTTTCCCCCACAGTATGAAAATAGACACCTCTGCCACGCTGCAGCCATGCATTTAGTTTGTTTCTTTAAAAAAAAAAAAAAATCAGTAGTATGTATCTCACTTCCTCTCAAGTTTCAAGAAAGAAAAATGAAAGGTCACTTTGTCTTTAAATACTGGCGTGTGGCTGTTGGACAGATGGGTATGTGCTCAGCAGATTCTGACTCCGGAAAGGCCAGGCCACCGAGATGGGGCAGGGTGGCCTGTCACAGTGGGGGTGTGGAGCCAGTACAAGCATATTGTGAGCTTAGATGGAGAGTCAGCACTGTGAAGGCTAAGGCTCCAGAAGGGAGGGGTCATTGGAGACCACATGCCCTGCCCAGCCCAAGGCTCGACCGGGCTGCTGCTGGCCTCTCCTGTTAGGTTTGAGATATGATACAGGCTGTCCTGGAGAACCAGCCCACTGCTAAGGGCTGGGGTGTAGCTTAATCCACCCTGCACAAGAGCAGAGGGGGTCTACGAGAAACTCTCTTTAGATTCCCAGGATGCCTCTGCAGCATTGGGGACAGGGTCACACCTCTCCAAAAGGGAAAGGTTGTTTCTAGGCTCTGCTTTCTCGGCCCATCTTCGGGTTTCGGGAACTCTTATTGCTATTTCAGAGGTGGCTAAGCTATCCTGATACAAACTTGACTGGGACTCTCTGACTGGGCTCCCACTTTGTGTGGACCCACATACCTCAACATTATTCTGGGGTTCCTTGGCCTCAAAAGAACCAGGAAGAGTCCCACCCGCCCAGCAGCCCACTTAGAAATCGCCCAGTACCGGGGCCAGCAGATAGAGTTCCAAGTTTTATCCCTTGATCATACAGCAGCTTCTAGAAAGAGCTTCCCAGTGACGCCAACAGCCAGAGCAGTAGGCCAGTCCCCTACAGGCCCTATACAACACTCACTGGGCACACTGAGGGCTATGGGCCTTTCCCCTGAGAGTGTGGGACCCAAGGGTGTGGGCAGCAAAGGTGCTAGGAACAACCCAAGGGCCTTGGCTGGTTGGGAAGCAAGGATGCCACCCACCTTCTCGGCCTGTCCCCTCTGCTCACAGGGTATGGGAGGGACCTGAGGTGAGGACAAGCTCTTTGGGCTTGCTGCATGGAGCTCTGAGTAACATTTCGTGAGGACAGCAGATGGGTGTGATGTAAATACACAGTAGGAGGGATGCCAGCAGGGTGCCAGGGCCTCCTACGGGTATCATGTGTTCAGTTCACAAAAGCACCCGAGCCCTCGTTTTTTCCTCACACCATGTTAGAGAGCACCCCTGTCAGTCATGCGTCGCCCGCCGTCTGAGGGGTGAACACGTGCACTGGAGCACGCATTTGACCCCCAGGTCCCTTGGAGGGAGGGGCTAAGGCTCAGATGTGACCTGTGAGGAGACAGCATGACAAACAGCCTGGCCTAGCATGTTCCCGGTAGGTTACCACAGGAGCTCAGCCATTGGGAGGACAGAGGCCCACCTAACTGGGGTGGTTTCTAGAGCGGGCAAAGCCAAGAGGAACCTCTGGGGGGTGGGGGAGACCAGAAGAGCTGAGCAGCTCGCTGAAGACCACGCAGCAGATTAAAGCCAGAACCAGGTCATGCCCCTTCCTTCCCAGGGAAAACTCATCGGGGGCGGCTCCCGTAGCTCCATCCGTAGTGACCCAGAGCTCACCGAGGGGGTGGGGGTCACACTGATGGTGACCCAGGGCAGTAGCCCAGTTCTACCTGCCCATAGAGAATGCCGAGCTCAAGCCCGGACATTCTCCAGGACTTTCCTATGTTGCTGTAAACCAGAAAAAGGAAAACCTGGCAGGAGAGACCTAAGAAGTGGCTAAGCCTGGCATGGGCAGAGAAACGTCACTGAAGAGGTGAACGCCAATGAGCAGCAGCTGGCTTCGGGGTGGCTGGGCACCGACCCCCTCAGGTGACAGGGAACCCTGAGCTCCCAGCCAGCCACGGACACATGGGAGCCAGGGCTCCATGGCCCAGGGTCCTGGCTCGGGCAGGGTAGCAGAAAAGGTAGCGGCACCCGTGTCGCAATTCCAGCTCTGGTGGCTTCTGTCCAGTGTAAGGGACAGCAAGTTACAATACTTGTTGAGGGACTTCTACCAAGAGCAGGGCATCTCCCCAGACAGTCCCTTGGTTTGGAGTCTTGAAAGCTTCTTGCTAATAGAACAACATGGAGCTCAAACGGGGAGCCAGGCTGCCTGGCCACTTTGCTGCAGTGAGCCGGCAAGTGGCTTCTCGTCTTCCCAAGGTTTGCTGGTGAGGGAGGCAGGAGGTGGAGGCCTGGTTGTCAGTGTCACACCAGGGCAAGCCAGGGTGGGCCGTGTCCTATGTACAATTCACCACAGAAAAAGACGGTGGCTAGACCAGAGTTTCTGCCAGGTCTAGGGCCTCAGACTCCAGGCAGGGAGGGCCAGTCCACATCCACGGAGAAATGGCCCTACAATGGCCCCTTGAACTGATTACCAGACAGGTGCTGCCGGATGGAGGGCTTGGTGCTGGCAGCGTCCCCCAGTTTCCTCCAGACCACCTGTGAGGAGACACATTGTAAGTGGAGGGCTCGCCCCAAACCTACTCAATGGCCTCACCCACCTACTGCCTTACCACCCTGCAAAAATCACCCATGTCCTCAGGGCCATGGAGCTGGGAGAGAAAGCTGAGGCCACAGGAAGGAGAGGTGCTGAGACTTGGCCTTTACCCTCTGGCAAAGTCATGCTTGACCCCCAAGCAGGCTACTGCTAGGTTTGAGCTTATCTTTAAAGATGTCCAGTGGGGTCCATAGACTCAGGAGACAACATGAGGTGCACCTCAGGGAATCCTACCCAACCTAGGCCCCAGGTCCAGACCCCATGAAACCACTCTCCTGCTGGCTTCTATGAGGGTCCAGTGGAGATGACAAGAGGGAGGTGGGAGAGAATATTCCACTCGCATGGCCAGAGGCCACCAGGGGGCACCAATGAGCAAAGAAGCCAGAGCTCAGGCTCTGTCCAGAGTCCCAGGCCTGGCACTACTGGGAAGGGATAAATCAGGGGCCTCTCTGAAGGGCGAGGTATGGTGGAGCCAGGACTCCCAAAGCCAGTCATTATCCCCAAGCCACAGCTGAGCGAGTGAGAAGAAGGCAGCCACACTTCCAGGGCCCAGCCCCAGGCCAGACCCAGACCCAGACCCAGGCCCAGATCCAGGCCAACCTCAGCCCCAGTCCTAGCCCCAGGCCAGACCCAGACCCAGACCCAGACCCAGGGCCAGGCCCAGCCACAGCCACAGCCACAGCCACAGCCACAGCCCCAGCCACAGCCACAGCCCAGGAAGTCCCTCACGTTGCACATCTCCCGAACGATGGCCTTCTCCTTCTCACTCAGGTCCTCCTCACAGCTATCCTGAAGCTGCCGGTCAAGGTTCTCATGTACTTCCAGAACCTGAAGAGAAAAAGGTCAGGAGGAGACCAGCAAAGGGCTGCTACCAGGGAAACCAGGGAGGCTGGGCAAGGGGCTTCAGGTGGGCTTGCTTCAAGAGCCACCAAAGGCTGACAGCCTGTACCCATCCACGTGGGACATGGCAGTCACTGCCAGCTCCCATTGTGACTGAGTGTCTGTGCACAGGGTAGGTGAGGACCGTAGTACACATACAAAGGAAACCGGGAAAGCCCTGGGGCAGGGCTGAGCACTAGACACTGCAGTGGAACCTGCATGCTTGAACCTAGAGGCACAAGACCAGTTCCCTCAGCAGCAATACCTCAGGCTGAGAAGACAGCTGACACGCTCAAGACTACAGCCAGCACAAGTCCCACCCACGGTACTCCAGGCAACTTTGCAGCCCCAGCCACCAACAGGGACACAGTCTCCCACCCCCCCCCAACCAAAGTGCCCCGAGCTGGCACCAGTGGGGATTGGGGTACCATGAGCCCATGGTCCCATCATGTGCTTGGGAGGAGGCAGATGGCTCGTTTTACCTTCATGGCGTGCACAACAGCCTCGGGCTTCTGTCCTGCCGAACTGTAGACGGTGGAAGGGGGTGAGGGCAGCTCGGGTACGGGGCAGGCCGGGCCCTGGGGAAAGAATGGCACAGATGAGCCCCCGGCTGGGTCCCAGATGCCTGTCACTGGATAAACACCAGCTTGAGTTACCTGAAGCCACCAGGAGGACATAGGGGCTAGGAGAGGGGAGCTGGAATGGGGCATGGGTGATAGGCAGGTATCCTAGGAGCTGATATCTGCCTGGCTGGGCCTCACGCTTCCTGGCCATGCCACCTCTTCTGTGGTGGCTTGCAGAACAAAAGGAGGGAGTGTGGGGGAGGAGGGGGACACGCAAGACCATGTTCTGCAGATGAAGCACGAGCATCTTGAGACAGCCAGAAGACTCATGTCACTCAGCACGCCGAGGCTCAACCCCACTGTCCAAGTCCAAAGCCCACCTGATCCATCCTAACTAAGCCATGCTCCTGCCCCTTGGCCCAGTCCTAGCCACCAGCGTGGTGAGTCAGCTACTGACCACAAGTTCAAAGGTAAGGGTTGAAGAGAGAGCAGGCTGGGCCAGGAGGGGCCCCAGTCCTTCTGAAGCTGGGTATCTTATCCACTAGAGCACGTGACCCCTCCCTCCTGTGACCAGGAGCAAAGCAAAGGCTTCCGCCTTGGGCTATGATTATGGACCACAGGGCAATAAGAAAACACCAAGAAGTGGCCCAGGAACAAGTAGGAAGGGGAGGCTTCTGCAGCCAGAGCACTGGATGGCTGTACCCTGGTGGCTGGGGAATCAGCCTGAAGACAAAACTACTCCCTCTGCAAGACCTGGGCCCTCAAGACTCCTCCTAGCAATCAAGGAAGCTGGCCCAAGAGGACTGAATCCTGTCCAGCCATGGCCATTGGGCTAGGCCACCATACAGGCCCAGTAGGGATTCTATGGTTGTCCTTAGGCCCAGGGCCTTCCACAGATAGCCTGTCCACCAAGCCCACTTCTCTCTGGCCACCCATCAAGGATGCTCACCAGGGCCTCACAGGCTGATGACACCAGTGCCAGCACAGCTCCGCCCCCAATGGGAATCTAGGAAGGCCAGAGTTGAGCATGGTCCCTTTAACTGGGACTGCCTCAGTTTCCTCTCTTCCTGTATCACAGGTCACAGGAAGCATGCAAAACTGCCTGGTTAGGAAACGTGGGAACCAAACGGGGAAAGGGAGTGGGTAGGTGAGGATGTCTTACCCCCAAGGCTGCTGCTGCCCAAGAGGCTGGGCTTAAACAGTGGCCACACTTCCCCCACCGGCCAGCAGAGGGTGCCAGCCAAATGAATAGAGTGGGGTCTGGTCCTAGCATGCCATCCTCTGGTGCCCGCACCCCTCCTGATGCCACCCTGTCCTAGGGAAGACCCTATCCCCAGTTTGCCCTGATGTGCCTGGTCTGCTTCCTCATCTGTACTAGTTTCTAAGGAACTGTTAGGGGCCCCTCCAGGAAGCAGCCACAGAAGAAACGCAGGAGGCAAACGGACAGATTGCTAAGCAGTCTAGTTCTCCTGGCTCAAATTACCCCCAGACATCAGGTATCAGGGAGGGCAGGGCCTGGGACTCGGAAAAGGGTAATGGCCATTGCTCTAAGTCTTAATGACTGGTTAGAGCGGCTGAGGTATCGGGGTTAGCGTTGGGCTTCGCGTCACTTGGGCCCAGAGGCCTCCCAGTCCCCAAGGCACCTGCACTGGGCAGGTCAGTCCCAAGTGATTAAACAAATTCACCCCATGGCCGGGCAATGGTGGCACACGCCTTTAATCCCAGCACTTGGGAGGCAGAGGCAGGCGGATTTCTGAGTTTGAGGCCAGCCTGGTCTACAGAGTGAGTTCCAGGACAGCCAGGACTACACAGAGAAACCCTGTCTCCAAAAACAAAAAACAAACCAAAAAAACAAAGAAACAAAACAAATCCACCCCACAGATGAGGACAATGGGCTTGCCCAAGTCAGCCGGTGTACATGAGTCTAAGCCAGGAACTCCGGTCTCTGCCACCCGAGTTCATATAAAGACTAGCTTTTCCCAAGGTACCTGTCCACGCCTTAATGCTCCTGTCAGGAAGCACCTCCTCCAGAGACTGGTGGCAGGGAAGTAGGGGGTGAGGGGGGTACACACACCCACCCACTTTTATCTGGGGACTTTCAACATTTGCCCTTGCTGCTACTGAACCCTATGCACCTAAAGGAGACCGGCCACAGTAAGGAGGAGACAGTGGCCGGGTAGTGACAGCACTGAGGGTCAAGATGACCAGCCAGGCCCACAGCCTTGACCTTGGAGCCTTCTTCCCCTGCATGCTGTAGCCTCGGTAACTGCTATGGCTGGCATCCAAGGGGCACTCAACCCAAAGTGCCTTTCCCCTTGCCTCCCCCTGGCTTCTGCCTTGGCTCACGACCTTAAATGGATGACTTGAAGGTCTTCAGTTCCTAGCCCCCACGGAACAGCGATATCCTCTGCTCTGCAAGCCCACACTGGCCCCTGACCTCCAGGCCCATCTGGGCACTAGTAAGTCTTTGCCCGTTAGGTCCTGCAATCTGCTGCAGCCTATAAGGCTCACCTCCTCCTCCCCAGAGCAGAGCGGCAGCCTCTCTTATGGGGTGAGACACATGATCCCCTCCCCATGGCCTCCACTGTGAAACCTTTCAGAATGTTCCCACATTCCGCTAGCCTTCTGTCAGCACTGTTGAAGCCTGGGGGTGGGGGGAGTCCCTTTGCGGCGTCCAAGCTTGGCTTTCATCCACAGCTGCCCTAGATACAACTGGGGCATCGACCCACCCGCACGCCCTGGGCTGTAACCAGCCTGTCTCGCTTCTAACTGTCTCCTCTGGAGCTCAGAGTGACAAATCTGAAGGTTCTGGACCAGGGACGGTAGGGACCTTTGGTAGGGACACTTACGTTCTGTAGGACTTCCTGGTAGGAGGGCGGCAGGGATGCGAGCTGGGATTCAGAATGGTATGGGGAGAAGCCTTTCCGAAGTGTCCGGAACTCTCCGGAGCCTGCCTGCTAGGAGGGAAAAGAAGACAGTCAGATGGCTGAAGGCTCAAGACCCTGCCCTAGCCCAGGCACTGTTCTTAATAAGCAGGTCACCCTCTACACAGCAACTTGTCTGCTCAAGCGCACCCTCCCAGGTGCCCACCACAGTCCACAGGCTGCCTCTACCATCAGACAGAGAACCCCACTCCCCACCGCACCCAAAGCAGGCCTGGGTGCTGAATCCACAAGAATCAGTGCAAACCAGAATAAGGAGGAAGGATGGGCACACACACGTACACTGCCCTGAGGTCGCTCCCTTAGGAGAAAAAAAAAAAAAAATCCCTGTAAGCCAGGCTAGTGACCCAAGACCAGGAGCCAGAGTCTCTAAGAGCCAGGGAAACTCCATGGACAATGCATGGTTCAGACTGTCCACCTTCCGGGTCCAGCCCCACGGAAGACAGCCTTCCTCTCTAAGCCACCAAGACTTCAAAGGAAAGGGGGAAGCTACCAGGCAGATAAAAAAACGGCAAAAGAATGTCCATAAATCAGCGGGCTGCTGAGGTCCCCGAACAAAGCAGGAAGGAAAGAAAAGGCCGGGCTGGCCGGCAGGAAGTGGACGTCTGTGCGGCAGCCCCCCCAGAGGGCTTCCTCCTCCCACCCAGCAGCCCCCTCATCCAGCCTGGAAGGGATCCCCACATTCCAGTGCTGGCCTCCTGCCAGCCACAGGGCCTGGCCTCCACTTCTCAGACTTCGCGCCACCCAGCTGCCGGGGCTGCGAGCCTTAGCCACCTGCAGGTGGAGACAGTGACAGCTCAGACAGAAGGCAGGGGTGCCCCAACCACCAGGCAAAAAGTTGGGATAGTTGTTCCACACCCCTATACCACCCCTAACCTGGAGAGACCACAGAGTCCAGCCAGAGAAAAAGTCTGCCAACAGGGCAACAGGGTATAAAGGGATCTGGTGGGCTATGTCTGTTCAAAGGCCAGGGAGCGGGTACAGAGGGATGGGGTTGTTTCCTCAGCCTTGGGTATGACCCAAACTCATGTGGGTACCCAGAAGCCTCCTGAGGTAATGCCACATGACTCTTATACTAGCCATGGCCCTAGCCAGCATCGTCTGCAAAGAGATTGCCCAAGAGACCTCATGAATGGCGGCGGTAGCCATCAATTGGGACTATGGTACCCTGACCATGGACTTGTGCAGGCCACTGCAAAGCATTAAAGGCCACAGAAAAAAAAAAACCCTTCCTGACACAAGGACCAGATCTAGTGGAATGCCCTATGACCAGGACTCAGAATAGAGACTGTCCTCAACTAGCCCTAGTACTTCTTAACTCCAACATGAGTGACCCTTTCCACGGCCACCATGCTTCCCTGAGGGGTTACCCACCCAAAACCCTGAACTAAATCACCGTCGGCTCTCTGCCACCATGAAACACTTTTCAGCAGAGAGCACCTTCTAAATTCTAATGAGCTCTTAATGTCCACAGATAAACACATCCATCAGTCCCCATGGGACCTTGCCTACCAATGCTATTCTGTGGGGACATGGAGACATCCCTGCCACCTTGCTGTGACTGGTGGACAAAGTAAAGACACCAGAGGCAGGCTCCCAGCCCAGCAGAGAATGTACAGTGATATCTCATTTGGTCACAGAACCAGGAGTGGCGACAGATTGTAGCCTAGTCTGTTTCCCGCCAGCCCACAACCAAGAAGACAGGACCTGTCCTGTCCTGTCCTGTCCTATCCTCACCCACACAGAGGATTATGTTTGGGCTGGGCCTCCCTTCCCACAGCTTCTCTGGCCCTCAATCAGACAGGCTCCTGAGCGGCCTGGAACTGCAAACATTGTAGTATGCGTAAGGCCCCACCCCTTCCCACCCGCACCCCTCCACAGAGTCCTGGGTCATTTCCTTGGGTGGGGTGAGGGTTTCCAATTAGCAGCATGCAACTCCTCACCCCCTACACTTTGGGTGAGCATCTAAAAATATTTGCGTGTGCACAGGACTTTATTAGCAAGCCACAGAAGCAGGCAGGGGAAAACGCACATAATCTCTCATTAAGGGGCAACGTGACTAATGACGCATCAAATGAGTAACCACTGCCATACTTAGAGCCAAATTAAAAAGGCTGCTCGCTGCAGCCTAGAGCCCCTGGGCAGAGCAGAATTCCTGTTTTCATCTCGGAGGGGGAGGCAGGGGCTGCAGACCCCTTGAAGGGCAGGGCATTTGTCACGGTAGAGCAAAAGGCCTTTACAGGAAGTTTGCCTGCCCTGACATCCTAGGGGGAGGTTGGGTACCCCTCAGCCTGCTCTGGGCTGGAACAAGACTTCCAAGTCCCTGCAGCTGCAGTAGCTAACCCCCCCCCATTCCTGTCTCTTGTCTGAGAGTACAAGGATGCATCTTTTTTGCCCACTCCTAGGGCTTCTGGGGCAACATGAGGGTTCTGAATTAGGAGTGAGGAGAGATAGGAAGCTCTGGGGTCACTTGTCCTGCGACCTTAGAATCAAGGGCCGTTCAGGCTTCTACCGAAAGCCAACGCCCAATGCCACCCGCTTAGTGCCTAGCACAGCCTTGGTATGTGACCTTTGGCTAGCCCGCTGATACTGCCAGACTCCATGGCCTTCCTATGTCCAGGAATTCCTGCACGTGGACCCTTCAGGGAGGAGGAGTCTCAGGCTGGAGAAACTCAGGCAAGCATTGTCAGAGGGCAGGTACTGAAGGAGGCTGCCCTTCAGTGCTCATGGCCCACCCACCTGAGTTTCCTTGCTGGGGAAGGCGGATGACCAGAGGCTGTGCCAGGGACCCCCTTCCTGGGCTGTCCTGGAGGGAGTATGCCTCATATCCCCCTGCTCCAGGAGAACGTCATTCCGTAAGGCATGCCATCTGTAGGCAGCTCTCGTGTGTTCGAGAGGCACTCGCAGGGAACGTGCTGAGTGCGAGGCATAAAGCCATGCCTCACGGATGCTGCCAGGCCTCACGGATGCCGTCATGCCTGGGGTGGAGGGCAGTCTGCCTGAAGGGGCCGCTCAGGGCAGAAGGCTCAGAGCCCCTATGCTGATTCAGGATCGACCAGAGAAAAGAACTACAGGACCACCAAGGGCCCAGAAGTGGACTTGCTCCTGGCTGCTGGTGCTACTAGTGTGGGTTTTTCCGTCCCTGGCAACCCCCAGGACACTGAACACATACAGTACAAACGTGCAATACTGTGGTACCACACAGTGAAGCACGGCCAGAAGCTGGGGTGGCTGGGACCCCAGAGGTCCTGTGAAGCCTGCTCACTTTACTGTACCCGCTTCTATCTTGGGGGTCGGGGAACCCCACTGCCGCAGACAATGTCACTGTCCCCCAACCCCTCACTCCTCCACCGTGGATATGCAGAAATGTGAAAGGGAGTAAGGAGAGATCCACCATGGGCCTCCAGCCTCCACTTCCCACCGTTCCTGTCCCTACCCATGGGGCTGCCTCCTGGGTCTGATGACCACCCTCTATCATCTTTGGCCATGAGGAGGAAGGGCCAGGGGATTGCTCTCCCAAGTGTAATTAATGGTCGTTACTCTGAAAAATACTCCTGGAGCCTCGGCCTCCTGAAAGCATTGCCCCACCCGGAAATAGACAGCTCGCCAGTTCACTGGCCGGGCGGGAAGCAGAGGGAGGACTGCAGACAGCAGAGGGAGCACTTCAGAGCAGGCAGAATACAGGCCTATGGGAAGCTGTTTTACCAGGAGAAGCCAGGGCCACAGACTGACCTGGGCTCAGTGGGCCTAATCCAGAGCAGAGCCCACAGGAATCCAGGTGGTCACCTGTGTCAGATTTCCCAAAGGTTGCGCTCACAAGCAGAGGAAGGAGCAGAAGTCTCCAAAGAGGAGTGGCCTCTGCCCGAGCCTATGGACATTTTCAGTCAAGCACGGCACCAGCAGGGCCATTTAGACCACGTGATGCAGAGCGGGAGGATTTGGAGGCCAGATACACATGTCACTCCATTGCACCTGTCAGCTGACATCGAACCTGAGCACTTTGTAATGGCCCTGCTGGCATGGACAGGCAGCCCCAGGGCCTGGCACACAGTCTTGTTGCTATTGATCGGTGCGTCTCAGCTGGGATGACCCTGCCCCTGGGGACATCTGGAAATGTCTAAGACATCTTCGGTTCTCACAACTATGTGGTGAGTACAAGCCAAGGAAGTTTCCGAGAGCGAGGACTCATGGACTGAGGCTTGGCCCAATGACCTTCCTCCTGGGAGGCACAGCTGTGCAGACTAGGCCTCTACTCCACCACTCACTGGTATAGTGTCCCCCGGCCCTGCACTGCAAGGGTCCTGCTGCAGAGCTGGGGTGGTGGGGTGGCATCAGAAGAAGGGTGGGGTAGTAGTTGGAAGAAGGATGTGATATTCCCAGCAGCACACAGAATCCTGTCTCGGGACATTCTGTGATGCGCCAGTGAGAAAGGCCGGTCAAGGCATACCATGGCAGGACTGGCTTGTTACACCGCAAAGCAGGAATTACTCCCAGCTCAGAAGGAGCAGGTCCCAAAAGGAATCCACAGGCAGGACTAGTGCGTTCTGGAAGTGGTCAGCTCCCAGGAAGGAATCAAAGTAGAGAGGAGACACGGCAGACACACCACACAGCGTTTAGCAGCCCTCCTACCCCTCAGAGCCACTGCAAACCCCCCCCCTTCCCCAGCAGCTCTACCTGGAGCCGGCTTCTCTGGTGGCCGTAGGGGCGGGGCAGCTGGAAGGAGAGAAAACAGCATCACCCTGCCCGCCTGTGCCATCTGCCTGGTCCCTTTCCTTGGACATGGACTGGCCAAACAAAGCTAAGGGATCTCAGATGGGCCAGGGTAGTTTCACCACACGAGAGACCAGGAAAGAGGACCCTAAAAAGCCATTCGATGTTTGAGACAAGCCCAAAGCCCAAATACCCTTCTAGGGAATGTAGCCTCCTGAAGGGCCTAGTGGTACCCCCAAAGCCCCAGCCAGCCTCCCGGTGATGCCAACTAGATCTGTTTTCTTTCCCTTTATTCTTTTTTTTTTTTGTTTTGTTTTTTTGTTTTTTCGAGACAGGGTTTCTCTGTGTCTTCCCGGCTGTCCTGGAACTCACTCTGTAGACCAGGCTGGCCTCGAACTCAGAAATCTGCCTGCCTCTGCCTCCCAAGTGCTGGGATTAAAGGTGTGCGCCCCCACCACCACCCTTTCCCTTCCATTATTCTTAACCCACTTGTGGGCCATTAGGAACAGGGCCATTAGGAACAAAGGGGGAGCCGCCTTGGCTGGGGGCCCTGAGACTTCTTCTCATTAGTATTCAGATGAGTTAATAAGGTCACTTCCCCTACCACCCAGGCAATCTCATATACCCTACTTGTCAAACCTGCTGGAGGGACCACCAGACCAGAGGCTTGTGATGGAGTATGGCTCACCCACAGGACAGCCAGATCCCCCAATACCATAGGGACTACCGCACCTTTCCAGGTCCTGTTAGGTTCACTGAGATGAAAGGGGTAGGCCAGGCAGGAAGATATCAGAGGGGATGCAGACTTATAGTATGAAAGCCCTACTATAGATGAGTAAACAACTTACTAACCCCCTGAGCCTCTGCTTGGTGTAAAAACCCTGCGGTCAGGCAGGGACTCACCAGGGCTGTAGAGTTGCTCCCAACATGGGCCCCACTACCAGCCGGTCATATCACAGTGCTATCCACAATGGCCCTTTAACTCTCTGAGTGGCATATATGGCAGGTATATTAGCGGCTTTGTTTTACAGATGAGGAAACTGAGGCACCGAGGTTTTTACACTAGTTGCCCAGTGTCTCCCGGCAGACAGGTGGCGCTAGTGAGCTGTCTCTAGGTTCTGCTCAGCATCTGACTCCTGGTAGGCATTCCCTGAGCCTTCATTGCTAAGGCACTGAGCACACATCCTAGACCCTCATCCAGCCACCTGGCTGCCCTGCCCTTCTGCTGAGGGTGGACAACACGGTCCCTGGCAGGGGGCAGACAGACTCAGGTCCTTGCTAAGGCAGCATTTCAGGTCTTCCAGAGCCGTGGCACTGTAGTGCCCAGGCAGGGGACAAAGTGCCAGCCAGCATCACACGGGCAGAGCAGGAGTACCCTGAGTTGTGTTAGGTGTCGGGCGCTGTGGCAGACACCACCCAGTTGAACCGCTGCCGTAGAGAGGCAGGGAGACCGATGACCTCGAAGGGACATGTGGATGAGTAGCCCTACCTTCCTCAGGCTCAGGAATGTGGGGAACAAAAGTGGGGGGGGGTATCAACAGGGTTGGGGGGATATGGTTCCTAAAAGTCTTGTTCCAGGGGGCTGGAGAGATGGCTCAGTGGTTAAGAGCACTGACTGCACTTCCAGAGGTCCTGAGTTCAAATCCCAGCAACCACATGGTGGCTCACAACCATCTGTAATGAGATCTGATGCCCTCTTCTGGTGTGTCTGAAGACAGCTACAGTATATTCATATGTAATAAATAAATAAATCTTTAAAAAAAAAAAAGAGTCTTGTTCCAAATTCAGACACAGGACAACATGGAGCGCTTCGTGGAGGGACAGGCAGGGGTTGTCTGCTGAGATGACACAGTTAGAGGCCCTTGGGATCAGGAAATGGCCCACAAGCAGTGTTCCCAGGACCACACCAGACCTAGGCTGGGTGTCCCTGTCATCCTGACTTAAGAGGAGGAAACTAAGGCACAAAAGACAGGGACTTTTGCCTGAAGCTACAGGTTAACAATAGGACAGAAATGGCCTGAACTCAGATCCGTCCAGGGCCCAAACTCACTTTCTGATGGGTCCCACACTGGCCCCATCATGTGGTTAGGTCCCAGTGCCCCCAACCCAAGGTCCTAACCTTAGGATGAGATCCCTTTGGAGGTGGGGGTCCTCACAGAGGTGAGCAAGTTAAAGTAAGGTCCTCAGGGTACCTGGTGTCCTCCTTAAAGAGACCATTTAGGTCAAAGAGAAAAGTATGGGGGACACAGGGACCAGTTATCAACAAGCCAGGGGCCTAGGGATAAACCAACCCTGTTAACACCCTGACGTTCAACTTCCAGCCTCCTGGGCAGAGAATAAGTCTGGTTGTCTGTGCATTCCCCGTGACACAGGCACAACTCGGCAGCCCAAGAGAGTTAACAGAACATCCGTGCCAGGAAGCGCTCCCCGACTCAGGCCTTTTCTCTCCCTGTGTCTGGTACAGACATCATCACAGGCTACACTCAGCAACCCCGTGCATGGTACCTGGTCCTGTGTGGGCAAGCATGAAGGCTTGGGGATAGAGCAGGGCTACGGTGCCTCTCCTCCAGAGCCCCAGCGGCAGCTGCGGCCACAGTGTGCCCTCTGGCCCGGGTGAGAGAAACCAGGGCTGCTTGCTCTTTTGTGAGGCTGGCTTCGTGGCAGTTCTGGAGGTCTCATTTATCAGCCCGGCAGGGGGCTAACCGGAGGCCCCACCGCCAATTACAGGCTGCCCCTACCCGGGTCCTGGCTGGGCACAGGGAATCTGCTGGAAAAATAATGTGCACGGAGTCCTGGATGGATCGTCTTGGAGGAGGAAGCAGCTGTGTTGATGAAATTTTAAAGCCGGCACGAGGAAGAAAATATGAACTGCGCTACAGTAATTTAGCCTGTGAGCACCCTGGCACATTTTTAATTAAAGCTGTTTCGGAGTTAAACAGAGGCTGTGGGGGAGGGGCAGGGAGGGGGTGGGGGTAGGATCAGGGGAGACTCTCTGGCCTCCCACTCAAACCCCAAGGACACATCACCTCACAGTATTGCGAACATTCCTCACGCCTGCTTTTCGCCAGTGGGCAATCTCTCAGCTTTGTGAGGAGCTGGGGGTTTCTGTCGGATTATGATTTCATGACAGAATCATGAAATTCTACACACCAGAGCCCTGAGGCTGAGGAGCGAGGGTGGCGACTGTCCTGCCATCAGCGGCTCCTTCCTCAAGACTTCCAAACACTGAACCTCAGCCACAGCGCTGTGGCCTGTATCAGATGGTGCTCTTGCTCCCTTGGGGCAGCCTGGGTGAGAGTCAGCCTCCCTTCTGGGCCTAGGAGACTGGGTGGGGAGGGCTTCCCAGGCTCATGCACAGCTCAGCCATGGCAGGTGATAGAGATGCAGATGAGGCCACCGGGGCTCTGCGAGCCCAAGCCCTTCGGCAGTTAGGCAGGGAGTAGGGACAGGAATCCACAGGAAGGTACAAGACAGACAGCCCAGGGACAAGAAAGCTCAGAGTAAGTGGAGACACACCTAAGGGTGTGCACGGAGGAGGCCCAGAATGTGGAGCTAATCCCTGGAGGGGTGGGACCAGGAAAGAGCTGGCCACTGCTCAGGCCTGAAGGCTCGGCCTCTGGCACGGGGGACATAAGGCAAGTGAGCACAGCTATGGGTAGGGAGGACTTCCAAGTGCGACTATGGATACCCCAGGGAGAGAGGGAGGGAGGGACTGCTACGCCATGCCTTTCACATCCGCCCATGGCCTGGTCCAAACACTTGAAACTGGAGTACAGGTTCCCAAGTGGGACAAATATCAAGCACAACCCCAATCCCTGTGAAAACCGGGGTTGGGGAGGTGGGGGAGGAGGGGGAAGGCTGTTCTCTGGTTAGATGGTGGAGCACACTTCCTGTGGAAAGGACAGTGGGAATAGCATCCTAAACTTGAAAGGGGACTCCCCGTCTGCCTCTCCTCTGCCTCTCCGCGGGAACAAAAGCCAGACTGAGGCAGCCGTGTTGCTCCGGAAACCACAGGGCCTGAGTTGGGGCCAGCCTTCACTCAGCAAGCAGTGGCAGGAGTGAACTGCACTACAGTTCAAGCACGAACAGCTCCCTCCCCTCCAGGTGGATGTGGACCTTCTCCAAAGCAGGTGCTGCCCTTGGGCTCCGCAATACTGCTGGCACCGCTGGTCCCTGCAGCCCCATAGCAGCCGCATGCAGTCGGGCTCCCAGAGAGCACTTGCATCCAGGGTGTCCTGCCTCACCAGGTGAGACTAGCCCCAGCAGGGTGGCCCATGGAGGTGACACAGTGGGACTAAACTCACTGTGGGCCTCCCAATATCTGCTGGTCGACAGGGGAGGTCATGGTCTTCCTGTGCAGAGCAGTGGGCATCAAGCCCAGCAGCTCACATGGCAACGGGGCCAGGCATCTGAGCAATGTCTACGGCTGTCTCATCCAGGGATGGGCACTCACACTTAGGTTATACCAGCAAGTCTAACAGAGGAGGGGGAGGCTAAGATAAAGCCAGGGGTGAGTCCAGGAGCGGAGAGGCTAGAGGGACTTGTCTAATCAGAGCATACCACAGCCTCTTGTCACCAGGCCCTCTGCCATCTCCACCTCAGCTGAGGTGTCTGCTGGTTTCTCTTCCATGTCCAGTCACAGTCCACAGGAGGCTCCACTCCCTTTCGGTAGACGCCTCCTCACCTCCAGCAGCCATGACCAAAGTCCCTCACTTGACATCCTAATGCTGCTCTACCTGCATGGACCCACAACCCCAACTGGCCATGTGAGCAGAGTTAGGTCAGGGAAGCAAGAAGGTAGACCTAGTGAGGAACTGGCCAGCAGGGGGTGAGGGGTGGGGGTCCCATGAATGCCTCCATTCACCTGTCACTACCACTGGGATTGGGCACAGTGCCAGCCATACAGAGCTTGCAGACACTGGGCAAGCCACAGTCGGCGAGGCTGGCAGCCTTGGAGCCTGGATTAGAGCGAGGAGTAGGCCTGTGACCAGGCTTTCTGGCAGACCCCCCACCCGCCCCCGGGGGGGGGGGGGGGGTTAAGGAGGAAGCTATGGGAGCTCTAGGGAAACTGGAGACGGCATGGCCTCAAAAGCAGAGGTATTACCCCTATAGCCAATACCCTGGTAAGTCACTTACCTGTGGGGGGAGCTTGTCACCGTCCAACAGCTTCACCTTAGTCTCCAACGGCCGGATGTAGGTGGATGAGGGGTCTGGAGGGCAGAGGGGAAGAAGACGGGACGTTAGCCGCAGGAACTCACCCCATGGACGCACCCCACTCGAGCCGGACCCTCCATGTGGTCCCCGAAGTCTGGTTTCCAGGAAGATGATGGTGAGCCACCTGGCCTACAAGCTCCTGGGGCGATTCCTTCTGATTCCCAGGGGTTTCAGACCCAAGAGCAGTTGGCACAAAGATCCACAGCCAGAGAGAGGTAGGTTCTTGGGGCCCAAAGTCCAGCTCAGAGAGGCCCCTCTCTGCTATGTAGCGGGGAAGAAGCAAGAGACCCTAGTGGATGGGTAAAGGGAGTGTCTGGGTGTGCCTTTGTGACTGACACACAGACAGCAACTGAGGTGGAAAGACCTCCCCGAATGTGAGCAACGCCACACAACAAGCTAAGGGCTCGGGGCTTGGAGAGGAACAAATGTAGGAAAAAGAATAAATAATAATAATAATAATAATAATAATAATAATAATAAAAAGCCCGCCACCCTGGGCTCTGTGCTCCCTCCCCCACTCCACCTCCCTTTTTAACCCCAGAGAGGACACACGTGGGGAGTTCCTCAGTCACCAGTCATGGGGCCCAGACAACCCCACGTATAACACAGCCCAGGGAAGAAGGTCCACCCACCCTCACCACGCTGCCCCTGCTTTTTTAATCCCATCAGAAAAGCTGGCAGAAATCTCACTGCACACCAGTCCCATTCTGCTGTCCCCACCTGCCTACCCCACGGGCCCTAACTTCCTCCCCAGAAGTAGAATGGCGGACGAACCATCCTCAGCCCAGGCTGCAGTGGAAGGCGCCTGACTTGGAGGACTCAAAGACCGGAAGTCAGGAAGGGAAGACACAAGCAGGAATGAATGGGAACTGCAGGACCTGTCCCAAGCACCCCGTGGGGCTGACAGTGTGGGGCACCTCAGTCAGCCAGATACCCAGTTAAGATGGTCTGTTGTGCCTCTTGCTAGACGCTGCAAGGCTAAGTGGCCAGCTTGGACTCTGTCCACTGGCTCAGTGAGTCACCGCCTGTATCCCCTCTCCCAAAAGGTGTGGGGTCTCCCAGGTACTTCATACACTAACCCCTCAACCTCAGAACAAGGCTGGGGCAAGCAGACACACCGAGCAAAGCCAGCTACTGACTTCACCTCAGGGTAGGGCTGGGGAATGAACTCCACTGGCTTCTACAGTTCCTAGGTGGAGAGAAGGGGCCGAGGATTTGCAGTGGACAGGACAGGCACATCAACCGTGGGAACAATGAAGCATCTATCCGTTCCAGCACAAAGCCAGCATGACCCCAGGGAAGCCCGCCTCAGGCCTCACGTTGCTATCTTGCCCCTCTCCTTCATCCCATCCACAGGCTCTAGTAAGGAGTAGTTATGGAGCCCACCGCTGGCCATCAGGAACTTAAAGTCCCCAGGAATGCCTATGCTCACACAGGCGGGCTCTGACCTGCCTGTTAAGGGACACTTTGTTCCCCAGGGGGTACCAAAGAACACTGAGGAGCCCCCACCCACTCAGCCTAGATCCACAGGGCCCGGCAGATCATCTGGTACAGCAGAGAACAGGAAAAAGTGTGGGAACGGGGAGCAAGGCCCAACCCATGGACTGGAGAACAAAAAAACCAGAACCTCCCTCCTCCTCATTCCCAATAGTCACCTCTTAGGAATGTGGAGCCTTTTACAGGGGAGGAGAGGAGGGCCGGCACATCCTCAGGAATGACAACAGTGCCGGGCACAGGGTAGCTCCGATGGGCAATGCTGCCCGGGGGGCCCAGCCTCACTGCACAGCTCCACACTGAGTTTCCAAGAATTCAAGGTTCCTCACACACTCCGGGGAAGCACAGGAGTCTCTCTGCTTGGGCCCTGCCTACAAGGCCCTGATGAGGACTCTCACCATCCATAGGGGCTGCAGCCAGAGGTGCCTCCGTTTACTCATGGGTCAGATAATGCCCAAGAACAATGCCTGTGATGACTCTGCCCACAGGCATGCTGGGAAAAGCCTTCCCGTTCAGGGTATGCCAGGTCTCTCTGAGAGTAGAAAGGCAAACACAGAACAAACGGGACTCTCCAGATCCTACAAGCTGCCAAAGGGGACACCAGCTGTGCAGCAGCGGGTGGGGACATTCCAGCAGCCCACACCTATGAGGGCTCGGGATGAGGCTCAGTTGGTAGGTTGCCCGCCTACCATGCATGAGGGCCTGAGTTCAGCCCTCAGCACTGCAGAGACTGTGTGGCGACCCATGCCTGTGAACTCAACACAGGTGACAGTGGGGGATGAGGAGAGCAAGGGCAGCCTCTGGAAACACGGAGAGCTTGAAGCCAGCCTCAACTACAAGGATCCCTTGAGCTGAAAGGCTAGCCCCATTCTGCAGGCCAGCCTTTGGGACCACGCTGGACAGAGCTCTGGAGTGATGGAACTGGGTTGCTCTCAGAGATGCGTGAACCTTCCTACACACCTTTCTTCTGGATTCCATGCTACAGTAAAATTCCCTGGCATGGTGGTGAGCATGCAGTACGCACACACGCACGCATGCATGCACGCTCTTGGTCCCCAGGCACAGTCCCCAACCCAGGGGGAGGCCCAGCCAACACCACCAAGTAAAGATGTTAACGGGTATACACACTACCACTGTCCTTTTCGACCATGGAATCATTCAGAAAGCAAGCGGGTTACCCACCCATCTCCCTCGGTGGATTCCTGCTGGGTAGGTGAGAAGTCTCCGGCCTTTAGCATTTACTTTTTCAGTCAGTGGTGTGTCTCACGTGAGGAACGTGTCAACTTTTTCTTGAAGCCATTTATAGTCAATTTCCAAATAATCCCAGGGCAAGAAGAGATCTTCCTTTTGAATTAGAAGAGTAGCTTCATTCCCGCCTCTTAGCCTCTCCCACCCCTCCCCGACACACACACCAGGCACTCAGCTTAAGTTCTCCACGTGAGACCCTGTCCCCACCCTGTCTCCCAGACCAGACTCTCTCAGTGCCAGGCAGCTGGGCCTCTGGGCTCCCCGTGGGTCGGGAGCAGAGAAGAAGGACAGTGAGAATGGCTCCCCAGGCTGGGGCTGCAAGGCTGGACACCACTCCCTGAGGAGGCCCACACTCTTCGCTGTCCCTGAAACTCACTCATGAGCTCATCAGGAGCCTCCCAGGCTCCAGGAGTGGAGTGGGTAATTAAATTAATCCCAGGGCCCCCGCCCCCACACAGTAACGAAGGCTAGGCCACAAGGGAGAGGAACACCATTTCTCAGCTAAGTTGCTTGCAGGCAAAAATGAAGTAAGTGCCCACGGGAGGGGCCGGTGAATGAAGAGCTGGCTAAGGTGTCCTCTGAGATCCACCCAATCCTCCTGGCACCCATCAGTCCAGTTCTGGGAGGGTCATGGTCCAGTTTCTGTACAGCCCGCTTCCTAGCAGCAGATGCGAGCCCCCCTGTTTCTCCGTCCTTGGGCATCCTCAGCTTCCTAGAGGACCTGTGGGTAGACTTCCCGATGGACACCGTCACCGCTCCATCTCAAGTGCCCTGAGCTTGTCCTGCTGATGACCTTCAGGCCTCAGGCTGCTCAAAGCCTGTGAGGAGGGTCCCTTCCTGGCAAGATGTTACCACCTCGGCCCCTTCTGTGGCCTCCTGCCCCTGGCTCTGAGGCCATGAGCTCCCACAGTCAGCAGCAGCAGCTGCAGTGAGCTCTCAAAGAATGAAGGGGTGTGGGTGTGGGAAGGGGGGTGTATTTAGGGAGTGAGCCCCAGGAAGCCTAAGGACAGATATGGAGAAGCAGAGACAGAAGAAGCCAGTTAAAGGGCAGCGAAGTTAGTCCATGCCCCAGTGGGCTCCTGGGCAGGGAGGGCATATCAAGTACTACCGACTGAGAGAGGCGGGTTGGGAGGGGGCGTGACACCACACCTCCACACAGAAAGCCTCACGACAGTCGACAGTCGGGTGGGGTGGGCAGAGAGCTCAGGAGCCGTGAGGGAAGGTTCTGAGGAAAAAGTGGGAAGCTGTGTGCCTCCCCTCTGGGTTCCCCACCAGGGCTGCCTCTGTAGCAACCCTTCCTTCTGAGCAAGATCCTGACGTCTCCCTTCCCCGATTTTGTCACCATCTTCAAGGTCTGGGGACAACCAGACCTCTCAGCAGATCATTAGCAGGTGACCTGGGCACGTGGTGCCCTCTAGGGGGACTGTGCCCAGCTACACCAGTCACAAGCGCCTTCCCCCTCTGGCCGGGCAGGAGGAAGGCCAGTCTGAGGGCACATCTCCCCTGGGAAGCAGGTTCGTGCATCCTTGCTTTCTTCCTCACAGCCCTGGACTTGCCTGCACAGGGGAAGACACGGTTCCCCCACACACTCGGCATGGGAAGCCCGTAGAAGAGAGGCCCGCCATGCCTTGCTCTGGGACAAACCCCAACACACAGCCAGAGTGGGCCATGGAAAATAGCGAGGGCAGGTCTGAGGGTGGACCTCCCTACTCTGTGAGCACAGAGTGACCACAACCTCTGCCTGTGCTTCCCAGCTCCCTCCCAGCACATGCAAGCCCACTCTTCCCACAGATCCCCTCAGACCTGACACTGCAGAAAGTCCGTCAACAGAGCCCAGGACCTCCCAGAGTCATGCAGGCAGGACAGGGCCAGTGAGAACAGGCCCCAAACTCTCCTCTCAGGGCTCTTGGGACCCCAGCTACAGGGGTTCAAGCACCAGGATCACCATAAGACAGGACCTTTCAAGCAAGTACCAGCATGACCACACATGCTTATGAAGGGCCAGCCATGGGCCTCCCAGACACCAGTCCCCGTTTCTCATTGTTATTGGACACCCCTGGATTACAGATAAAGGACCTGGGGCTCGGGGAGGTAGGAAGGTGGCCATGGGCACTGGGAGCGGGTGGTAGCTCGGTCTTACTGCGGACACCGGGGCACAGATGCTGTGGCCTCCTCTTCCCCGGGCAGCCTTTCTCACCTTGGGCTCCATATGGCAGCAAAGGCCACCCTGACAGCGCTTCCTGCTCAACAGCAG